CTCCTAGAACTGGTGTTAACCACCATGTGGGTGCTGGAAATTGAACCTGGGTCCTCTGCAAGAGCAGTCAGTGCTCTTAACCACTCAGCCATCTCTCCAGCCTCCAGTGTAAAACATTTTAAAGGTGTAGATACATACATAAATCCTAACCATTGGGCTAGAAAGATGGGCAATGGCTAAAGATGCTTACTGCCAAATCTGAGGACCTGAGTTTGATCCCTGGGACCCACATAGTAGAAAGAGAGAACAGATACCTGCTAGATGTACTTGATCTCCATGTGCATACCCTCTCCCAAATAAATATGTGTTAAAAAAAAAAAAAAAAAAGACACATCTAAAGAGATATACAGAGGGGGCTGGAGAAATGGCTCTGTGGTTAAGAGCACTTGCTGCTTTTGCAGAAGTCCAGAATTCAGTTCCTACCACCCAAGTCAGACTGCCTATAACCACCTGTAACCTCAGCTCCATCCAGACCTCATACCTCTGACCTCTGTGGACCCCTGAACTTAGTGCACAAACTCACACACAGATACACATACTCATAATTAAAAATAAAATCTTAGCCCAGCATGGTAGTACATGCCTTTAATCCCAGCATTTGGAAGGCAGAGGCTGGCAGATCTCTGTGAGTTCAAGGCCAGCTGGGGCAACAGGGAGACCCTGTCTCAAACCAACAACAAAACAAAATCTTAAAGAAAAAAAAAAAAAGAAAAGAAGAAGAAGAAGAAAGAAAAGCTGGATGTAGTGGCTCCTGCCATTAATCCCAGCACTTGGGAGGTAAAGGCAGGCAGATCTTTGTGAGTTCAAGGACAGCCTGCTCTCCACAGTGAGTTCTAGGAGGCCAGTTGGGGCTAGGTAAATAACAAACTCAAAGTATTTCCCTCTGAGGTTGAAGGAGGGAAATGTCAGAGAAGAGATTTCTTTGCACAGTTCAATATTGTTCTTTAGGAAAAAATTATATTCTTCTTCATTCCATTTCATACGTATGAGATAGTTGTCATTGTAGGTTTTGTTTTTTTTTTTTCGGGAACATTATAACCCAGTAATACTGTCTTCTAATTCTTTTAAAACTAAAAGGGGCCATAGAAAAGCCATTAATTCATTTGTTTTATTTTACAGATCGGGAAACTGAAGATATGAAGACCCATGTAATGTTCTGGTTTCTAGAAACAGCTAGACCAGAACTCAGATTTCCTGTTTGTTTAGGAAGTCAACGGTTTCCTTCTTAGAGAAGGAAGTGGTAGACACTAAGAGTCACTTATAAATTTTTAAGCCAATCTACATTTTTTGGTAGGTTTATTTGGTAGAAATGAAGAATACTATAGTTATGGTTTACTTTTTATTGAAGTAAATCATTTGATAAATTTTTATGGAAACCATAGGAAAGGCTGGAGAAATATTAGATGTTGACTGCTGTCAATTAGTGTCATTAATGGTTTAAGAACTGTGATGGTGGGGTTGGGGATTTAGCTCAGTGGTACAGTGCTTGCCTAGCAAGCGCAAGGCCCTGGGTTTGGTCCTCAGCTGTGATGGGCCGGGCGTGGTGGTGCACGCCTTTGATCCCAGCACTCCGGATGCAGGCAGATCTCTGCGAGTTCAAGGCCAGCCTGGTCTACATAGTGAGTTTCAGGACAGCTGGGGCTACAGGGAGACCCTGTCTCAAAAAGACCCCCCCCCCAAAAAAAAGAACTGTGATGGGGGTCCCTCAGGATTGACCATAGCATCTTACTGCCCAAGCAACTGCAACTGCAACTAGAGGCAGTTAACTCAAAGTGTGGGAATAGAGAAGTTTGGTCCAGCTGCACCAGGGTGCAGGTTTGAGGAAAAGGTCAACATGTACCTGGCTGTTCTTGCTACTTGTTTTTGGCTTCTGTACTTTTGACTCAGCTTGGCTTGTACCTGCAGGAAGAAACTGTAGGGAGCTTTTCCACCCTTGCATTATGGAAAACTGTTGGGGGGCTTTCCACCCCTGAGGGGAGAAGGATGTGCTTTTTTTTTTGTACAAAAACCTACCCTGAAAAAGGCTCCGGGCTGAACTCAGGATCCAGTGTAGTCTAATATCCATACTGGCTATAAAGATTTTCTTTTGGCAATACTCTGTGTCTGAGCGGTCTTCTCTGGTGAGACACCCCATAACAGAATCACACTGGGGATCTATCGAGATGACTCAATGGCAGTTAAGAGCATTGGCTACTCTCACAGAGAACCCAGGTTTGGGTCCCAGCACCCACATGGCAGCAAACAACCATTAATAACTCCAGTTCCAACTGGAGGGGATCCAACTGCCGGGAATCCAACACCCTCATTCAGCCCCTGCAGGCATTGCATGTACATGCAGTTATATACATCCAGGAAAAATATTCATACATGTAAAAAAAGAAGATGGCACAATGGGTAAAGGCACTTACAGCCAAGCCTAATATCTTCAACTCAATTCGTGGAACCCACAAAATAGAAGGAGAAAAGAGTTCCTCTTGCTGTCCTGTCACTTCCACAGGCATGGTATATCAGTTAATCATGATGGGCCAGGCTTGGTTCTTTTGTTTCCAACAGGGTTTTGAGTGATCCTCCTGTCTTAACCCCCCTCCCCCAAGTGCTGGTAAAGCTTTATTTTTCTAAGCCATGTCCTATTCAAAATATTAAGACTTTAAGTGGAGACAAATTGAATATGTTGTGAATATTTGTGGTTTTCTTGGGGGTGATGGCGGAGGCAGGGTCTCTCTGTAGCCCCAGCCTGTTTGGAACTCACTGTGTAGACCAGGCTGGCCTGGATTTCAGACAGATTCACTTCCCTCTGCATCTGAGTGCTGGGATTAAAGGCATGCTTCACCATGCCTGGCTGATGAATAGTTTGAAAAAATGAAAAGGGAGACAGTTGAGTCTTTGGCCTCCAGGTGAGGGTGATAACCCTTCATCCATTATTGCATTTGCTAATTTTCTTTACCTCCATTAGCCAGATTGTTTTTGTTATTTTGAGACAGGGTCTCCCAGTACCCCAGCTGGCCTGCACCAGGCTGCTCTGGAACTCATAGAGATCTGCCTGCCTCTGTCTCCCAAGTGTTGGGGTTAAAGGCTTTCTTTGTTTTGGAAACTCTGGCTTGGGACAAGCACCTTTACCTGCTGAGCCATCTCGCTGGCTCCAGGTCTTACTTTTTTGGAAGCTTCTAAGTTGTTGACAGAATTAATTGCATGAAAGGTTATAAATCTAAGATTTAAGGAGACAATAGGAAGGAACCTAAGCTTGCCAGATACTATTTAAAAGACAAAAAAGGCCGGGCGTGGTGGCGCACACCTTTAATCCCAGCACTCAGGAGGCAGAGGCAGGCAGATCTCTGTGAGTTCAAGGCCAGCCTGGTTTACATAGTGAGTTCCAGGAAGAAAAAAAAAAAAAACCCAATTGAAAATGCCAGGTGTGATGGCTCACACCTTTAATCCCAGCACTTGAAAGGCAGAGGCAGGTGGATTTCTGTGAGTTCCAGGCCAGCCTGGTCTACATAGAGAGTTCTAGGCCAGCTGGGGTACAGGGAGACCCTGTCTCAAAAAAATCAATCGACCAACAAACCAGTCAATCAACTAACCACCCATCCACAAAAATAAACAGAAGAACCAAACCAACCAAACAAAAAATTGGACAAAATGAGAGGGGGAAATAGTTGACTATAGTTTACCTACCCGCCCCCGCCACCTTCTTTTGAAGTGCTGTTGATTTCAAGCTCACTTTGAGCAACTGTACAATAGGAATGATTTCACAGTTCTTCAGAAAACTCTGAATCTCTCAGAGGCTGGAAAGTTATGTAAGAAGCAGAGCCAGGTGCAATGTGCAAATCAAGTAGGGAGGTTACTGTGGCTTTCTTTGCATAATTATCTATCTCTGGGAGTCACATTTTAAACCTTACAAATGGTCGCTTATTCAGAGAAAAACTAGTAGCAAAGTGGCTCACTGACATGTCAAGAAAAGAAATAGAAGTTCAGGAAAGTTTAGTTTGCAGAAAAATCAAAAAGATTGGGGATGAGAAATGGAAACTATCTTCAAGTAACAGGATAGTGTTTACACTGGAAAAATGTTTTATTCTGTTCTCCAAAATGCCCTTATCAATATAAATTATTATTTTTGTTTGTTTTGAGACAGGATCTCCCTGTAGCTCCAGCTGGCCTGGAACTCACTATGTAGACCAGGCTGGCCTTGAACTCACAGAGATCCGCCTGCCTCTGCCTCCCGAATGCTGGGACTAAAGGCGTGTGCCACCACGCCCACCATCAATAAAAATTATAAGGCATGGGGCTGGAGAGATGGCTCAGCAGTTAAGAACACTGGCTGTTCTTGCAGAAGACCCAGGTTCGAATCCCAGCACCCACAGGGCAGCTAACAACTGTCCATAACTCCAGTCCCAGGGGATCCAACAGCTGCTTCTGACCTCCGTGGGCTTTGCACGAGACAGGTGCACTTACCTACATGCGGGCAATACATGCATACACGTAAAATTCAGAAAACCCTCTTGGGATTATTCTGAAATAAATGAAACCAGGTACCTGGGGGAGCACCCGCAGAGGGTGAAGACAGCCTGTCTGGCGGCCTTGCCAACCCACGGACTACATGACCAGGTTATGTGATTCAAGTTAAGCTCTGTTTTACAATTCTTTGCACCTCTCTTTAGTAACACTTATTTTGAAGTCATTCGCGAATAAACTAGTCTTATGTTGCCCAATGACCAACGTCTCGGATGTTTCCCTCTGCGGTCACCTCTGGGGAGTAAGAATGAATAAATTAAGGAAACGTAGTTTTCCTGAAGACCTGAAGGCTGCTTCTAGTAATGACCCTCTTCTAGAGCATCACTACACCGCCTGAACACGCGTTCCCGCAGTCTCACTGGTAGTCCGCAACTCCCTTCACAGGCCTGCGACTCTCTTCCCAGACTAGGTTATACTCTATGGTAGTCTTCAGCCTTTCTAGCTCTCAACTCCTCCAGGGGCCTCTCTATGGTTCAGAGGCCTCCCCGGAAGCTCTCCAGTGCGCTGGGTTTGAGCGACCGGATATTGCTCTGCCGTTGCTCTCAGTTTCAAAATGCTGAGGGGGCCTTAGGACCCGCAAGTGCCGCCCCTCCCCCTGGCCCGGAGAGGGAGCGACCCATGGAGCCGTAAGGTGCGTATGTGGGGTCTGGTCGGCCGGGTGCCCCGAGGCCGGCGTGGGCGGCGGAGGGAGCGGGCTGCCTCCGAGCACGGGCGGTGAGGGACGCGGCTGCCGCGGAGGGCTGTGGGGGAAGGGCTGGAGCTGCGGCGGGGTGGAAGAACGGGGAGCCAGGCGGCAGTTACAAGACCTAGTTAAGCAGTGTGGACTTCATGCGTTAACTAGACCCGAAGTTTGAGGAGTACCTAAGGCACTCTGGAGGAAGAGGTCCGGAGAAAGGGAGACCGGGAGGAAGATTTCGTGGTTTTTAGGGCTGCAGACTGGCCGCCCAGTGTTTGAAAGATGTCCTTTGGAGTCTGCATCCGGACCTCGGGATGATTTTTTAAAATAGTCTTAACGAATATGAATTTTAGTTAGTACACCTCCCAAGGATTCTTGTACACTCCAAATTTGGAAAACACTTTTTTAAGCCACACCTGGCTAAAACGCCTGGGGTCTTGTCCTTCCTCAGCAAGATCTGTGTAGTTTGGGTTGTGCCTGTCACTTGAATCCTTTGGTTGTATCAGTTGCTGCATCTCAGTTCACCTTTAGTTCCCACCTTCATACATTCTTGATATAAACAAGTATTTTAGCCTAAAAGTACTACTTACAGTATTCTATTTCACTATACTGGTCAAAACCACAACTCTGGTTTAAAAGATGTCTGTGCGTGTAAAGTTAACAGGTCACATCCTTTACCCCTCAAGCTAGCTAACCTTAACTGCTTTGTCTTACATCCTTCCTGACCTGCTCAACACATATTCTCATTTTTAAACCCCAGAGGAATCATTTTGTATATGTTACAAGGTGCCTTAAGTTTTTCAAATAATCTTGGCAGCTTTCCATAAAATAAACCAAGTACTTTCTTTTAAAGACTTGCATAATATTGCATTAGCGATATTGCATAGCCATTTCTTCAGTGGGTTCCTCATTGGTGTATTTTTAGGTTATTTCCTGACAGCAATTGTTGGAGTATATTTTTTGCTACACACTCATTAAAGATTTTGACCATAGGTGTGGTGGTGCATGGCTTTAATCACAGCACTTGGGAGGCAGAGGCGGGGAAATCTCTGAGTTCAAGGCCAGCCAGTGAGTTCCAGGCCAGCTGTGGGGCTACAGGGAGACCTTGTCTCAAAAAGACCAAAAAAAAAAAAAAATTATTTTAATTTTGTGTGTTTGAGTGTTTTGCCTGCGTGTATGTAAATACACCACATACATATAGTGCCTGTGGAGTTCAGGAAACAGTTTCAGATCCCCTGGAATTGGAGTTACAGTTATGAGCTACTGTATGGATGTTGGGAACTGAACCCAGGTTCTCTGAAAGAGCAGCCAGTACTTTTTAACAAATGAACCATTCCTCTAGTCCAACACTCAACTTTTTAAGTGTGTAGCAAATGTGATAAGAGCTGCAACATCTGAGTGGTAGTTTTTAAAAAAAAAATATTTTAGTTTATGTGTATGCATGTATTGCCTGCATGTACGTAAGTGCACCTGTGTTGTGTAATGCCTGCGGAAGACAGAAGCTGCCGTCAGATCCTCCTGGAACTGGAGTTATGGACAGTTGTTAGCTGCCATGTGGGTGCTGGGATTCAAACCTGGGTCTTTTGCAAGAACTGCCAGTGTTCTTAACCGTTGAGCCATTTCTCCAGCCCCAGTAGTTTCTGTTTTTAAAAATATTTTATTATTTTTTATGTGTATGAGTATATATTGCGTGTTTGTAAAGTGCACCCATGTTCTGCAGTGCCCTCAGAGGTCAGAAGGGGGTGTTAGATCCCCTGAAACTGAAGTTAAAAGTGGTTGTGAGCCACCATATAGGTGCTGGGAACCAAACCTGGGTCCTTTGCAAGAGGAGCCAGTGCTCTTAACTACTGAGACTGCTGAGCTGTCCTTCTAGCCTCCCAAATAAGTGTCTTAATAGAAGTACTCTGGTATCATCAGTTATAGATTTTGAGAAGTCAGCAGAGCCTTTCTTAAGGAAGTGACTTTTTGACCTAATTTAAAGAATGAGTAAGAAGCTGGGTGTGGTGGCACATGCCTTTTAATCTCAGCACTTGGGAGGCAGAGGATGGCGGATCTCTGTGAGTTCAAGGCCAGCCTGGTCTATATAGTGAGTTCTAGAAAAAAAAAAGGGACCCCCTTCTCAAAAAAAAAAAAAAAAAAAAAAAAAAAAAGAGTAAAGAACTTTGTTTTTATTACATTCATGAATTGTGTGAATTCGTGTGTGTGTGTATGTATGTATCAGAGAACAACCTCCAGGAGTGGGTTCTCTCCTTCCTAACTCAAGTCATCAGGCTTGGTGGCAAGTGCCTTTACTTGTTGAGCCATCTCCAGCCTGAGTAAAAACTTTTGAGGCATGGGGAAAAGAGAAAGTATAGGTGCTAAGGCAGTGACTGTCAAGTTTTAACCATGACCCCTAATGAATATTAAGTTTTGTGTTGTGTTACATAAAAGAAAAATACATTTGAAGGCTGGGTATGGTGGTGCATGCCTTTAATCCCAGCACTTGGGAGTCAGAGGCAGGTAAATCTCTTAGTTCAAGGCCAGCCTGGTCTACATAGTGAGTTCCAGGTCAGCTGGTGCTACAAGGAGACCCTGTCTCAAAAAGACACACATTTATTTCTTTATATTTTTTGGTATGAGTGTTTTGTCTGCATGTAGGTGTACCATGTGCTTGCATTACTTGTGGTGGCCAGAAAGGGGAGGGGTCCCCTGGAACTGGAGTTACAGACAATTGTTAGTTGCCATGTGGATGCTGGGAACTGAACCCAGTGCTCTTAATTGCTGAGCCATGTCTCTACCCTCCCTTAATGAATGTTTCAGAGCATATATCACAGATGTGTCATTTTATATTTAAATGAGTCAATTTGTATCTCTTAAGTAGAAGGATAAGAGATTGTTTAAAAATCTTAGATAAGGATTTAAAAAAAATGACCACAGGCCTTTCTACTATAGTTACGTTTTTGAACTTTTTGTTTTCTTTTTTTTTCTTTCTATTTATTTATTTATTTATTTATTTATTTATTTATTTATTTAATTTTATTTATTAGTTAGTTAGTCCTGCATGTATGTAAGTGTACCCATGTTGTGCTGGGAATTGAGCCTGGGTCCTCTGCAAGAGCAGTCAGTGCTCTTAACCGCTGAGCCATCTCTTCAGCCCCTTTTATTTATTTATTTTTTTGTGTATGAGTGTATTGCCTACATGTATGTAAGTGCACCCCTCTCATGCAGTGCCCTCAGAGGTCAGAAGAGGGCGTCAAATTCCCCTGGAATTGGAGATATAGGCGGTTGCTAGCCACCATGTGGGTGCTGAGAATTGAACCTGGGTTTTTTGTAAGAGCAGCCAGTCCTCTAAACGCTTAAGCCATCTCTCCAGCCCTCCTTTTTTTTTTTTTTTTTAAACAGTTTCTTACTATCCTCTCATGTCTATTATATATTTCAAAATTTCCTGATTATTTAAAAAATGTTTTGGCCAGCCTGGTCTACATAGTGAGTTCCAGGACAACTGGGGCTACAGGGAGACCCTGTCTCAAAGACCAAAAAAAAAAAAAGTTTTTACAAATTGTTTGAATTAGGACTCAAATAAGGTTGTTGTGTTTCATTAGGTTTGTGCTATTGTTTGTTTTGTTTTGTTTTGTTTTGTTTGAGACAGGGTCCCCCTGTAGCCCCAGCTGGCCTAGAACTCACTAAGGAGACCTGACTGGCCTTGATTTCACGTTGATCTACTTGCCTCCGCCTCCTGAGTGCAGGGATTAAAGGCCACTACACCTGGCCTAGGTTTGTATTTTTAAGGTCTCCATAATTGCTCCACTTCAATCTCTCCTCTACTCCAAGGTCTTACTGAATTTCCTGTACACAAAAGCTGATCACCTCCTTTTGTTTATTCCATTTCCCATCAAATTTATATTTAGTAGTTAAACCTAGATTGTTGTTGTTGTTTTGAGATAGGGTCTCACAACAGGGTCTCACTTTGTAGTCCTGGCTGGCCTGGAACTTCCTCTGTAAGCCAGGCTAACCTTGAACTCAGGGAGTTCAAGTTCTCCAGTGCTGGGATTAAAGGGGTACGCCACCACACCTGGCTTTAAATCTAGATTTTTATTCTTAATTTTTTTGTCAAGAATACTTATCAAGGGCTGGTTGTACCTCCTCAGTGCTGAGATTGCAAGTGTGTGTTACCGTGCTTATTTTTTTATTTTGCCTTACTGGAAATTAAATCCATGGCTTCACACATGCTGAAAAAGAGCTTTCACACTGTGCTGCAGCCTCAGCTTATGCAGTGATAAGTTTGGGTAGGTCAAGAGATCTGCCTCTTCCATCTCCTTTGAAGTTCTGTCCCACACTCTCCAATCTTTTGCTCCCTCTAAATGGTTTTAGTATGTATTGATGACTGCTGAGGGGCATGGCATTTACCCTTATATTTAAAGGCATTGGGTGAACCAGTCTTGTGTAGAACGACCAGTGCTTCAAATGAAGGAACAATGTGTACGAAGGCCTTGAAGCAGAAAGCAAATGCTCTGAGAAACTAAAAGGTCATTGTAGCTACAGTTGAATGAGTAAGGGGGAGAACAGTATAAACAAGATAAGACTAGGGATGTGCTGAGAAGCTCTACCACCTGTTTAGGGCAGTGCCAAACTACTGAGCAGGACCTGATGCTGCCATAGAATTATCTTTTTGGTGGTGATTGAGCCCAAGTCCTTGTATATACTTGATAAGCATGCTCCTGTGAGGTACAGCTCCAGGAAGTAACATTTTTTGATTTGGGGAATAGGAAGTAGTCATGCAGATAGGAGGAAGGGATGGTTTTAAGTGGTTTAGCAGTTGAAACCTACAAGTTTGGGGGAGAATAGGAGGAATCAAGAACAACAATTTTCTGTGGTTTGAGCAACAATATAACTATTAACTGGCAGCATATAGTAAGAAGAGATAAGTTTTTAAAGTTTTTTTTTTTTTAAGATAGGGTCTCATTGTGTATCTTAGC